CCCAGTCTGGGATTCTCTAGGCTGCAAATCCCAGCCTGGTCATCCATCAAGGTTTTTCCTTTATCCCAGCCTTCTTTATAACCAGGAGCAGTTTCCACTGTCACTAAACCCCAGGATGAGTTTCCTTAGGGGTTCCTGCTGTGCTCTGGGTGGTTCAGTCTCTGATATTCCGTGTGTGTCTCATCTGCTGAAGTTCTCCAGCACTTCCTGGGCTGGGAAGCTCTCCCTTTGCTCCCCTGCCCAGCTAACTGTGGCTCTTTTCCCTGTGTCCTGCTCTCCTGCAGATCCATGGCTGAGCAGGTGCTGGTCATCGGCGGTGGGGGCAGAGAACACGCCCTGGCCTGGAAGTTGGCCCAGTCCCCACATGTCAAACACGTGTTTGTGGCTCCAGGGAATGCAGGAACAGCTGACAATGGAAAAATTTCCAATGCAGGTAAAACCAAGGAAAATATACCATTTTTAAATTCCATAACTCAACCAGTAAGTTCTTGTAGTCCCCGAGCTGATGTCACTGCTGGGAATGTGAAAATGTTGTTGTTATTACTATTACTACTATTATTACTACTACTATTTTTGAAGGGTTTGGGCCTGTGAAGTAGATTTTAGATGCAGTTACAAAGACAAAAAATGTCTGAGCCAAGCCTTGTGTAACTTGTGTAATTCATTTTATAAGATCTCAGCTGTGATATGGAATTCTTTAGGTTTGGGGTTGGAGGATTCAGCCAAAGCTGCTCCTCTGGGAATCCAGCCCAGGATAGTTGCTTGGTTCCCACTAAATTCACTCCTGTGTTGACAGCAGTGTGTTGAAGCCCCGTGATCCCCACAGCCTGTGACAAGAATACTCTGTCACCATGAAAACAAATTAATTCCTGTGTCTTAGGGGCTTTAAGAAATTCAGGTTATTTTCAGGTATTTCTCTCTGTGTACTGACTGCCTGTTTTGAGCCCTTGGCTGAAGACATTAAGCTCTGAGTGGCTGTAATTGAAATCTTTCATAGTTATTAGGTTGGAGAAATCAAGCCTAAGATGTTTCAAATTGAGCATCCGAAATTAGGGGCTGCATTCCAAAAAAAACCTTGGAGGAATTACTCAGATTCCTGTGTCCTTTATATAACAAATCCCGAATCAGAGGCTTTAAACAACCTGAGACTTCAGGTTCCACTTCAGAACATGTGGTGAGGTATGGAATTCAGGTTAAGGCAGGATGCATGAGCATGGATCACACACATCCACTGCTGCATTCCTGGTTTTATGGGAGCAGCTTTTTGGGCAGTTATCTCCTGTGGAAAATGAGTCCTGTCAGGTTCTTGTCCAGCAGGTGATTGTGGTATGGAATTCCACTGGAATGCTTCATTATAGGCTTTGTAAAGAACTTTGTCCTTAATTTCTCTGTCTAATTCCAGTATCACAAGTAGTTCTTTGCTCTGTTTGGCCTTTGAGGGGAGGGCCCAAAGGAAGAGCCTGACAGGGCCAGAAAGTCAAACAAAAACCCTTCCCCTGGTGCTAAATGGAGCCAGTGCCAGTCTGCCTGGCCTGGGGAATGGCAATTCCAGCATGTTTTTGCAAGCTGTGTCATTTTAAAAGCTCTGGGCTCTTCTCTCACCTTGTTATTCCATAAAAAACATTGCACCAGCAGTGGAAGATGGTGGAGCTCGAGCCAGGCCCATGTGTAATAAAATCCTTCAATAACTATGGGACCACCTGCACTTTGGAAGAGAAATTCAGCCAGCCAGGAAGAATCTGGAATTTGAGGATTTTAAGGAACCATTTGTCTCACCTGCTCAGGAATTCCAGTGCTGTCACTGGATTTTAGCTCGGGGGAAAATGGATAACAGTTTCCCAGAAGCACATGAGCCCTCTTAGCTGGTGTGGGCAGCAGTGGCTGGGAATCTCCTGCCCTGGGGGACAGGCATTTTTGGGGATAATCAGCACTTTGCTCTGAAAGTTCTTCCTCCCTTTGTGGTTCCTGAAATTGCCTTTAATTAGCATTGCAGCTCTGGGTCTTGGGTGATTAATGAAACATAAAAAAGTGAGCTTAAAATTATAAATAAGTTTAAATCTTTAAAACCTAGCCAGTACCCAAGTCAAAAATTAAAGTTGTTATGGTTAATCTGAGCCTGAAATCATTTCTGACAGTAAAGGGATTTAGGCTGTCTAAATAGAGGTTTATATTTGATTTTAGATTGAATTATCAGGGCAGTTCTGGTGCCAGAAGCATCTAGAATGGCTTGGTGAATGCAGAGATAGAAATATGTGTGTCTGAATGGACTTCACCACCCTGACACCTCCTTCTGTCCCATTTTACCTCCCAGTGGCACTTGTGGTCTTATCTCTAAGCTGGAGCTTTGAAAACCTTGGTCCAGGGTCCTTCTGTCTGGTTGTAGAGAAGGTTCAGCTGTTGTTTTAATGCCCCCTTTCACTCAACACCCTGAGGAAAAACACCATGATTTGTCCCTGGGTGCTGGAAGGACATTCCCACATCGTGGAAATCTTGGGCCACATTCCCTGTTCGTGTCAGGAGTAGATCAGACCTGCAGCAAGATAGCTGGGGGTGAATTCCAGGCTCTTCCTTTCCCTGCTTGGAGAGGGACCTTGGACGAGGGATGGAGGGACAGGAAAATGGGAATGGCTTCCCACTGCCAGAGGGCAGGGTTAGATGGGATATTGGGAAGGAATTCCTGGCTGGGAGGGTGGGCAGGCCCTGGCCCAGGTTGCCCAGAGAAGCTGTGGCTGCCCCTGGATCCCTGGAAGTGTCCAAGGCCAGGTTGGACGGGGCTTGGAGCACCCTGGGCTGGTGGAAGGTGTCCCTGCCCATGGCAGGGGTGGCACTGGATGGGCTTTGAGGTCCTTCCGACCCAACCCAGTCTGGGATTCCATGTTCTGTGGATTCATCCATCCAGGATGGCAGGAGCACAGTGGGCACTGACTGTCCACTCCTCTCCTTCCTCTCCCATCACCTCCCAGAAACTGGCCAGGGGAGCCCATCAGCTCCTGCTGTGTTTGCCGGTCTGCTGCCATGTCCAAGGGAAAGGAGGAGAGGGAATGGCCTTAAATTGCCCCAGAACAGGTTCAGATCGGAGATTAGAGACAAACTTTCCCTGCAGGAGTGATCAGGCCTTGGAATAAGTGTCCCAGGGAGGTGGTGGAGTCCCTGTGTGTGGGATTGTTGAAGAGGCCCTTGGGGCCATGGATTGGGGGTGATGTGGTGGTGCTGGGGTGGGACTGGGTGATCCTGGAGGGCTCTGCCTGGATGACTGTGGGATTCTGTGCCCCCTTTGCCAACAGGGTGCCCTGTTGTGTTGTTTCCTCCCAGCCCAAGCAGCCAATCCACACCAGGCTCACCCTTTGGCTCTGGGGGTCCATCCTCTCAGACCTTGGCTTTATTTGTCTGCGATAACTCAGTGGGGCTGCGGGGCCTTTGCGTAACGTTTTTATCAGGAGCCCTGGCGTTGTTGTTGTCTTTGGGGCAGCCTCTCCTTCTGTTTGCACAATCTGGGGCAGTCCAGATGTTGTCACAGGGAATGTTTGTTTGTGGAAGGGTGATGGTTGTAGCCACCTGAGCCCACGTGCCCTTGGCCACAATGGCAGCACTGGTCCTTCTTAATTAACTTCAGCTTAATGTACAGAAAAAATGTTCTGGTTCCCCTTGGTCTCAGTGAGGTGGGTTTAGTGCACCTCTACAAAAAGAAGGAAAAAAAAGAAAATAGATGAGTTGGAATTCCACCACCAGCCACTTACTTCATTCCCCACACCCTGCTGACACAAATATCCTGAGATCATAGAATCCTGGAGTGGTTTGGGATGGAATGGACCTTAAAGCCCATCCAATGCCACCCCTGCCATGGGCAGGGGCACCTTCCACCAGCCCAGGTTGCTCCAAGCCCTGTCCAGCCTGGTCTTACATCTGTAAAGCTTCATGGTGACTCTACAGAGGGAGGAGACTGGCTGAAAAAAAGATTATGTTCTGGTTAAAGTCAGTGCTGACCAACACTCCTGATGGGATCTCACCCCCCTTTGTGTCTCCACCAGCTGTTCCAGTCAGTGACCACGCTGCCCTCGCCCAGTTCTGCAGAGATCAAGACATCAGGCTGGTGGTGGTTGGTCCAGAGGTCCCTCTTGCTGCTGGTAAGAGAAACAAGCTAAAAATCACAGCCTTCAGCTTTTAGGAAGAAAGGGAAATTTTAGTCCTTGTCTGTCATCACTCAGCACTGTCTGAGTGTCTCCAGTGGGAATGGAAACAGATCCTCTGGGACACCTTCCCTGAAACTGGGGGCTGTGCTGAGGTGAAAATGAATTTCTGAAGGATATTGTGTTAGTAATAAAAGCAGTTTTGGTTTTCCTGTGGAGTTTTCATGTTTTGAAATAATTATCGTTTGAGTCTTGGTGAAAAAAGATAAATATAAACGTGCTGGTAATTTTTCTGTTTGAACCTTTTACCTGTGCAACCATTGGCACCTTCACAAAAGCCTAACGTTGGCTTTTGAGCTAAAAGATCCAATAAACCAAAGGGGGATTGTCACCTCTTCCCAAATCCTCGGAGCCTGAGGAGTCCCAGGCTCCTGATTCCAGGGAGGAATGCAGCCAGGGCCCAGCTGGGGAAACAGGCACTGCAGAGATGTGTGTGACTTGTTATTCCTGACATCCTTGTTCCAAGGGGTCAGTGCTCCTGTGTCTTGGCCTGCCTGAGTGCCACAGATCATCTGGAGGTTCCTACCATGTTTGTGTTGTGTTTGCAGGGGTTGTGGATGACCTGACAGCAGCTGGGATCAGGTGTTTTGGCCCCACAGCAAAGGCAGCTCAGCTGGAGTCCAGCAAGAGCTTTTCCAAGGCCTTCTTTGAGCGTCATGGCATCCCAACTGCGAGGTGGAAAGCCTTCACTGAGCCCAAGGCAGCCTGCAGCTTTATTAACAGGTACAGGGCTGGGCATTTGAGGCATGTTTTTATGTGCTGGATATCCAAACCCAGTCAGATGATGGCTGATGTGTCGATGCCTTTGCGATGGAACATCTGGAAAGGTGTTAAAGGATCACCTACCACTGTCAAAGTGCAGCAGGTGATAGAAATGGTTCTTGCCTACTGCTCCAAAGTGAAATTACAGTTCAGTGCTCAGTTTACAGGAGAATGTAGGACAGGTTTTATTTCTTTTCAAACTCCTGCTGTGGAGACCCAGTGAGCAGCCTGAGAACCATCTGTTCTGGTTCTTGGCCTCTTCTGCAGGAGTATATTTGGAGACTTACTCAGCAACTGATGGTCTGCTCATCAGGGTACAACCCAGGTGACCCCAGATAATACAGGAGTGAATTATTGCATGGAGAGCAGGAATGAACACTCATGGAATTCAGTGGTGGGGCAAAGAAGCACAAACCCTTCGCAGGCAGAGCAGGAGGAGCCTGGTTTGATCTGTGTGTTACTCAATAAGGTTGCTATGAAAACACAGAAGTGTTCTGACCTTTTGATCTCTCAACTCTTGAAATGCTCAAATTGTCTTTGCAAAGGTTGTTTAGTGTTGAATGTCTGTCCTGTGCCTCTGCAGTGCAAACTTCCCTGCTCTGGTGGTGAAAGCCAGTGGCCTGGCAGCTGGCAAAGGAGTCATCGTGGCCTCAACCAAGGCAGAGGCCTGCAAAGCTGTCACTGAAATGATGCAGGTGAGCAGGGATGTCACACACTCACCTGGGTACACAGGAACCCTCTCAGAGCCTCAGAGATGTTCCTTATTTCTGTGTGACAGGAGCTTGGCTGGGAGACATCAAACCTTCCACCCATTATTTGGACAGCTATGAAGCTCTGTTATATTTATTGCTGGAGGCATATTTCCTGTAGGCTCAAATAAAACCATTCTTCATGGAAACCCACCCTGATTTCACTTGTTTGTACATGCATTTCCTTTTTTTATTATACCATCTGAGACTGCTGCAGCCAAGCAGGAACAGGAGCTCTGGCACTGAGGAGGATCTTTACAAGCACCATTAGCTTTAGGACTCATCACACAGCACTTGAATGTACAGTAAAATTCTAGTGGAATTATTCCAAGTGAAGTGTGCAATGAGGTAGGATATTCTACAAACATATTTGGAGCATCAAAATTAGAACTGAGGCAAAATTCAGTGATTTTATCAGACCAGTGAGGAGCACAGAGCTGAGGCTGCCAGGTCAGGCCCTCAGCTGGTGTCAGCAGAGGAGCAGTCTAAAATTCCATGGAGCTCTGCTGATCCCCAGGAGATGGGATCTGACAGACCTGTGTTTCAGTGTGGGTTTCAACAGGGGCTCTGCAGTCCCATTTTGGGGGGTGAATAAGACAATAAATGTCTTAACGTGTGCCCCAATGTCGTGTACAAAAAACTGTGTGTTAGGGAGTCTTATAGACCCCAAAATCACCTTGTCAGCATGGGCTGGTTGTTCTTAATTTCTTAATTACCCAGAACATGCAGTCAGTGTTCAGACATTGCACTGGGATATGAAAAATCTTGCTCCCTTCCCATATATTGTATAAAACTGCACTTTCCTGGCAAGCAAAACTTCAGATGGGAGACTCAACAGTCGTTGCTGTTGGTCTCAGTGACATGGGGGCAAAACTCAGCTTGTGGAATTGCTCAGGAATCACAAATATCCCCTGCCATTTGAAAATACTCAGTGAGAAAACCTGCATTTATTTAAGAATAATCAGAAAAGAGGAACAAGGAATTTCCCACTGCTGGCACTGACCCGGGGGGAGAAGGGATTCAGAGTCTCAAACCTGTGCTGTGGGTTTTTTGCTGTATTAAAAGTATTTATTTCTTGTTCCATTTTCAGTACTTTAAAACCAGTGAAACAGCAGTAAAGAGATTTTGTTTTCCTGTAGGATAAGAGTTTTGGCACAGCTGGGGAAACTGTCGTTGTTGAAGAGCTTCTTGAAGGAGAAGAGATTTCTGTAAGTGCATCTCACTGTAACACCTTGACTCCCCCTGCCCTAAACTACCTGGGACACATTGTAGGACTAACCCCACCTGCAAAGGGGAGAAATTTATTCTTTAGTAAATGAAAAAAAATCATTGTGTCAATTAAAACCAGTTACCTGGTGTAAATAAAGTGGTATTAATTAAAGACAGCTGTGCTAAGAGCCAAACTCCCTGTGGTCTGTTAAAATAAATCACATTAAATAAGAATAACTCAAACAGCTGTTGCCACATGGGAAAAAAATCAATCCTTGTTTTGACAGTGTTGGTTTACTCTGCAGAGGTAGAGAGAACTTTTCCTTCATTTTAAGCTGATTCAGCCCCTTCATTTAAAAACTAGAACTTGGAATACCCAGCAGACTTACTTGATACAACACAATAAAACAAAGTCCAGTTTATGGTTGGTTTTTTTCTGTGCTGACTGACAACAGTGAAGAAAATGTACTGCTTTCCTTGCCCAGCAAGATAATTCACCTCCCACAAATCATGTATTTTTTAATATATTAATATTTTAGCTCTTTTTTCTTTTGATTAGCAGAATCCTTGCTTGGTTTATCAATTTTATAATTAGCATTATAAAATGGGTTTCATGCTGTTCACATTAGTCCAGACAGTGAACAACATTACCCAGCTTCAGTGAGCAACATCAGCCAGTTGCAGAAGCTGCCAGCAGGCTTGTAATTATGAAGATACTGAGGATAAAAGCAACTGTTGTATAAATAATTTATAAATAATTCACGAGCAAGCAGCTCTCTCAGCGAGGAAAAGGAAGCCTTGGAGGCAATGGAATGCCTTCCTTCCGGGGCAGGGGGAGGGAGGGGAGGGAAGCAGTCATTTCCACCGGGCTGTGTTTTAATTTTTTAACTTTTTTTTTAAAGTTTTGAGTGTTTCTTTCCAGTGCAGCCACTGGTGGTGTAGTTTTCACCTGTTTTATTCGAGGGGATTTCTGGAGGAAGGTCGTACGAAACGAGGGGAAGGCAACTCTTTAAAATCCCCTCGTTTGTTTGGCGAGGGGGGCAGAGTTGTTCCTCCTCAGTGTCCCCACAGAGCAGCTGCAGTCCCTCTGTTCCCCCTCAGCTGTAGAATCCCACAGGCTGGAATTTTAACTCTTCCCTGTTCCCCAGTGCTTGTGTTTCACCGACGGCGTCACCGTCGCGCCGATGCCGCCCGCCCAGGACCACAAGAGGCTGCTGGATGGGGACGAGGGGCCCAACACGGGAGGGATGGGAGCCTACTGCCCAGCTCCTCAGGTAAAAATGGGATGGTGGGGAAGGGAAAAAGGGGTGGCTGAGGAGATGTTTCACTGCAACTGTGTTGAAAGCATGGGGGAATGTTCAGCTCCACCAGGATGAACGGGAGGGAACGGGCTCCTGTGGATGGGAAGAGCTGCCTAAAACAGACAAGGCCAAGTCAAATCCATCACTTACTAAATTTCCCTGAAGAGGAGGATATTCCTACTGAGTTCCTTGGAATTTTAAAGGTGGAAGTGGTGTTTTTACAGCCTGGGTTTTGAAGTGTTTTGAAGGGCTGATCGTTAGAACCAAGTGCTCCAAAGCCACACTTTTACCCTGTGCCAGGCAAAGCTGGGGATGAATTTCTGCTGTGCCTTGAGGCAGTTTGGTGTCTGTTTGACAAGGAACTTCTGTCTGCAAAAGTAGAGGGAAAAGAATGATTAGTTTTCCATTGGATGGAATGTCTTGGAGTGAGCAGGGGACCATCCAAGTGTTCTGCTCAGGTCTTAAAAACACAAAATCGTGCCCTCCCTTTTCACCAACCCTGTTTTCTGGTCCTGTTTTATTAGATTTCTAAAGATCTGCTGCAGCAAATCAGAGACACTGTACTTCAGAAGACTGTTGATGGCATGAGGAAAGAAGGTGTCCCCTATTTGGGTAGGTACAGAAGTCTGGGATTTTTAATCATGAGGAGAAAGGCCTTTTATTTCGCTTTTTCCTCTTTGTAGGCCTAACTCAGCCTGGAAGGTAAGGGAGGTAGCTTTGATTTCTTTGGCAGCTGGGTTTGGTGTCACTGGCTTGATTCAGAGTCCGTGGAGATCAATAGATGTCATTTCCTGAAGGGGGGATAATTGTCAAGCGAGGAAGAACAGCCAGGAACAGCAAAACTGTGACCACAACTGTTTCTGCCTGATTTATTGTTCCATTTCTCAAGTTCAGTGAGCACAGGGGACATCCTTCTAAACCCTGTTATCAACAGACTCAAAACAAATGAGCTGGGCAGTTGCTGAGGGAGTTTTTCCCATCATTTTCTGTCCTAGGTGTGCTTTATGCTGGATTAATGCTCACCAAAGATGGGCCTAAAGTTCTGGAGTTTAACTGCAGATTTGGTGACCCAGAGTGTCAGGTGAGTTATTCTGGGGGTAGATACAGTTTGGCATTAGGGGAGAAAAATCTGTGACCATCTATCACTGTTGTTAACCAGCTTTTGGGTGAATAATTAGCTAATTGCACTGAGACTTAAAATATTTGGGTTATTTATTCAGGACAGAAGATCTCTTTGGAAATCGGTCCATTCCAGAGAAGATTTCAGCAGGCTGGACTCAAATCTGGGTTTCACAGGGACCAGCTTGACTGGAATTCAGCACTTCCCTATCTTTTCTGGAATGGAGTTGGATTTTTTTTTAATTTATTAAAGAAACCAACACTTCTTTTCCCCACTCCCAGTTTGAAAGTGGAAAAAGCTCTCTTAATTTCTATTCTCCAGGATGAATAGGGTTCTTTGTCCTGTACCTTTTCCCCTCCAGATGTAACAATTCCCTTCTTTTACCCATAGAAATTACCTTCAAGGAAGGGTGTTTTTAAGGGTACCCAGATTACAGGCAGTATGTGTGAAATACTTAATGTTATTTTTACAGCTGCATTGGTGTCTTTTGAAAGGCCAGGGGAGAAAACAGAGCACTGCTTGGTTTGACTGGCTGCTCTTGTGTTTCTGCAGGTAATTCTGCCCCTGCTGCAGAGTGATTTGTACGAGGTCATGCAGGCAGTTGTGGACAAAAGGCTCTCCAGCTCCCTGCCAGCGTGGCTGGAGGGCAGTGCAGCTGTGACCGTGGTCATGGCCAGCCAGGGCTACCCGGGGGCCTATCCCAAGGGCTTGGAAATCACAGGTAAGTGCAGCAGGAGAAACCACAGACGGCTCCTTCCTCTCCTGTTCTCTCTCTTGCTGGGTGAAGGTGAATCCCTGGAGCTGAGATCCATGCAGACTGGGGGCGTGGGGCAGCAAGAACCAGCTGAATTTTCACCCATCTCAGTTTGTTCTATTTTCACCCCTCTGGGGTTGTTCTGTTGTATTTTCGATTCTCCACGTTCATTTAACGTTGGCACAGTGTTATTTAACATTATTTAACATTGGCACTGTGTTATTTAACATTATTTAACATTGGCACTGTGTTATTTAACATTATTTAACACTTGACATTGGCACAGTGTTATTTAACATTATTTAACGTTGGCACAGTGTCATTTAACATTATTTAACATTGGCACAGTGTTATTTAACATTATTTAACATTGGCACAGTGTCATTTAACATTATTTGACATTGGCACAGTGTCATTTAATACCTGCTGCAGTCCAGGGGTTCTGCTCACTGCTCCCTACCCTGCTGCTGCTGTTTGTGCTCAGTGTGGCACTGGGGCACACAGCCCAGTGGAATCACACGTGGGCTGAGGTGTGTCAGTGAGTTCCCCTGCCCTGACACACGAGCAGACTCGTCCCTCCCAGTGCAGTTTTTCCCAGTGTGTCCCCGTTTCCCAGCGCGCTCACGCGGGCTCTGTGGTTTCTGAGTGTCTGTTCCCTGAGCACGTTCTAACCAACAGCTTTCTCTGCCTTTCTTCTCTCTCTCTCCCCCCCTGGCAGGGCTGGCCCAGGCCCAGCAGCTGGGGCTGGAGGTGTTCCACGCTGGCACGGCCCTGTGGGACGGCCGGGTGGTGACCAGCGGGGGCCGCGTGCTGACCGTCACCGCCCTGGGCCACGACCTGCCCACGGCCCTGCAGCAGGCCAACAGGGGGGTGGCCTCCATCCACTTCCAGGGGGCCATCTACAGGAAGGACATTGGTGCTCGGGCCATAGCCTTCCTCAGGCAATCCAGGTAGATATTCCAATAACAGCCCTGCTTGACATGCAGATAGCACCCCTGGTCCACGTTAGTCACTCCTGGCAGGAGTGATTCCCTGTCACTCTTGGCAGGTTTTAACCACTGTCCTTGTACTCAACCTCAGCAAGGCCAGCCAGGGAGGAACAGGCTTTTGGATGACTCTCTTCCATGTTCTTAGTCCCAAATATCGATTAAACCGCAGTGGAATTAAACTAATCAGTTAAACCACCCAGGAATCATTTGTGCTGCTCCTGGCTGTTAGACCTGTTTTGGGGAAGGTGAACTTCTGGTTCTTGGGCCTGAAGTCACAGCTTTTGCTCTGGATTTGTATTGTCCAGAAGTCTGATGTTAATATTAGTATCAGGAAATGTGGTCACAGCCCCAAGAGACAGGGTGGGATTGTTGGGGTGTCCTGTTCAGGGCCAGGGGTTGGACTGGATGATCCTTGGGGGTCCCTTCCCACTCAGGATATTCCAGGATTCTGAATATGAACAAAGTTTGAGCTGATCTATTGGTTCATTTTAGAGTTTTTAGAAAGGGTTAAAGTTATCTTGAAGCCTCCACCTTGTTGGGATACACATTTTACTGGAATGGCTGGCCAGCAACATGGTAGGATTTATCATTCCTTTTCATCCTTATTCCTTTAATTTTCACAGTGTTCAGTTTGAGCAGTCTGGAGATCACATGGGTGTGGGGTTTTTGTTTGTAGCTGTGAGTCCTGTTGTCCCTCTCACGTCACTGAAAGCTTCTTGCAGGTTTTTAGACTCCTTTTCCCCTGATCTGAAGCAGCTCTGCCTGTCTCCAGTTAGCTCCAAACACTCCTTTTGCTAATGGGTTATTTTGTAGCCTGGGGGCACTTCAGTGAGTTCAATCAGTGCTGATAGTGGGTCCTGTTAGGATTCTGTAAAATGGTGATCAATAAACTTCCTGAATGAACCAGGGTGTTGGTATTTAGTCTTCTTTCTCTCCCAAGTGCTCTGCATCCCTTGAGCAATGGAGGTGGCACCGTGGAGTTGGGATCTGTGTTTGCAGGAGTAAATAATGAGGTCAGTGTGTGAGGCAAGAGGCTTTTAATGAGCAGTTCCCTGCAGCACTGGGTTCATGGGCCACAGCCAGCAAGTTTCCTGCCTGGAGTGGCCTGGCTGGGAGGATCCCTGGCCCATCAAGGAGCCTCCTGGGAGCCCTTTGCAGTCCCTGCCTGTCTCAGTGCCCTGGGCTCTGCCCCAGGCTCTGCTCCTGGACTGGCAGAACAGTTGGGAATGTGTCAATCCCACAGTCCCAGACTGGTTTGGCTTGGAAGGGACCTCCGGGACCATCCAGTTCCCCCCCTGCCATGGGCAGGGACTCCCTCCCCCAGCTCAGGTTGCTCCAAGCCCCATCCCCGTTGGATTTGCTGCCCACAGGGAAGGAAGGGGAAAGGTTGGCCTGGAACGTTGGGGACTTACCAGGAGGATTCATCCCAAGGCATTTCCCTTCAGGAAAACAGCCAGAACATTTACTCAGTATTTCAGAAGATCTAAATAATTAGAGATTCATTTAAAGGACCAAAGTAGATTAAAAAAAAAATCTAGAAATTTAAAATACTTTTAAAAACAAGGTGAAAATCTGGTGTTAATCATGAGAGAGCCTGACTTTGCTCTCTAGTTGTTGCAGGCCACTATTTCCTTGAGTCTCACTCACAGCCTGAACAGAATTGTGATAATTGTTTTCCTCTTGCCAGCTCTTGACAGGGATGTGGTGGCAGTGCAGACACCTTGGTATTTTCCTGGTAGCACCACTCTTGGGCCAGTTATTCTGGGATTTTAGTCTGTCCTGGTCAGTGCCAGATATTACAGCAATGATCTTCACAGGAGAAACAGTGTCCTAGACACTAAAAAAAAATCCCACATCTTAAAATTAGATTTAATAGAGTACAAAAACATTTACTCTGTTTTATGCAATTTAAACATTTGTGTCTGTCTCTTACTGGTTTTTAATATTTACTGAATTCTCAGCCTGGTTCCTGTGATGGGTTTTGGGGATTAACTGTATATTTTTTTGTTCAGCTGAGTCGATTTTAAATGAGTTTCAGTTGTTTGGTTGTATTGTCCTTGTTAATCAAGAGTGTGTTTCACCCTTAGAATTTGAACTTCAGTCTGGATCTCATCAATAAGAGAGAGAAAGTAGGGCTGGACCTAAAATAGGGATGCAGCTGGTTCCTGCCACTGCCAGCATGGGAATAACAGCTGCTTAACTGGAGTGAGATGTGTTTGGTGGGAGTTAAAGGTCATTAAAATCTCTGGCTCCAGAAATAAAAGGTCCTGCTGGAAATAGGAGGTGGTGCCTCATGTCCCCAGTGAGCTGTGGGGACACAGGGGACACAAACACTTCTTTGTACATAAACCCCACCTGGAGCTTCCTGACTTTCCTTTCTGGAGTCCTAAAATCCACCTTAGAACTTGGGTCTTTTTTAACTAAATTTAAAATATATTGTTTAGTAGAAAGTCCTTTTAGGTGAAAAGGGCTGGTTTTGTGGTGGGATCCTCCCAGGTGGGAAGGAGAGGCCACCCTTCAGCTGCAGCTGTAAAACTCTGAAGGTATCGAGGTCACTGATTTATTTCTGCCTCTTTTACCTTCTTGTTGGGGTTTTCTGTCAGTGGTTTTGGCCTGGGGTTTCACTGGATGATCCTGATGCCACTTTGAACTGGAATATTCAAGTCCTGCTTCTGGCAGAGTGTCTGTGGTGCAAACCCCCCGTGCTTTGTTTCTTTGGTGCAGTAATCCCTGTCCCCAGGTCAGGTTCCAAACAGCCTTGAGCTGCTGAGCCTGCCTGAGGTGAGTCCTTGGAGATCAGTTCATGGGAACAGTCACTGGGCAGGGGGGAGAGCAGTGGGGTGGGAGGGCAGGATGGCATTCCAGGTGGGGGATCCCTTAGGGGTGGGAACAAGGGAATCCTGGTGGGAAACAGATGTTTGGGATTCACTGGTCAAATAATGTTTGCAAACAGATGTTTGGGATCCACCAGTCAATTCCATAACCTGTTTTTCCAGAGGCCTGACTTACAAGAACAGTGGGGTGGACATTGCAGCAGGGAACACTCTGGTTCAGAAGATCAAGCCCTTGGCTGCAGCCACGTCCAGGTCAGGTAAGACATGGCCCTTCTGCTCCTGTGCCATGGAATGAGGGTTATATCTGGATCTAAACCTCCTGCTGTGTGTTCTGGGTGTTCCCAGGTGACACAACAAATATCAGGGGGAAGCAAATGCCTGTGATTTCCTCCAGGCAGACAGGTTTTCATCCCCAAATGACTCTAAACTACATCTCCTGAATGCCAGGGGTGTTAAAGAGCACAGGACAAATGCAAGCAAAAGCCTCACCATTTCCTGCTGGGTTTGATTGCATGGGTTGTTATTTCTTGCAAAGTGAACTATTTAATTTTGGGGGGATGAATGTGTAGAAAGGTTACAGTTCCTGAGACAGATGTGGAAGACACATCTTTTGCTTGGTTAAAACAGCATCAATTTGTGCCTTTTTTTGCTCTAGCAAGTCCTTGTAATTCTTTGGATAGATTTAAATTATAAAAAAATTTATTAAAAAACTCTTTTACTTCAGATTAGCTGAGAACCTTCTGATAAAATCAGATATACAGAGAGAGAAAAACAGAGATACACACACCAGTACAACCAGTACCAGTCTGTTGCCACAATTCCTCCTTTATTTTTCAGAAAAACACTCAGTGCAAGGGTGAATTATGTCAGTCACAGTAATTGGTGACTGTTCCATCACCAAGTCTGGGATTTTTAGGCTTAAGTTAATGATGAATTAGAGACAAAGCCAACCCAGGCAGATTAGGAGCTCCTGTGCCTCTGGGAAGAGGCTCTAAATGCCAGAGAAAAGTTTCCTGGTGACAAAGCAAAGTTGTGTTGACAAGTATTGGAGAGAACTTGTGTTGGAGATCCTGGAGAAGCCCCTGGAAGTAAAACTGGGCTCTTTCCTCCTGTTTCCTGACAGGCTGCAATGCAGAACTCGGGGGCTTTGCTGGGCTCTTTGACTTGAAAGCAGCTGGTTACAGAGACCCCATCTTGGTGTCTGGAACTGATGGGGTTGGCACAAAACTCAAGGTAAGGTGGAAATCCACGTAAAGGAGGGAAAAATAGCACAGAAGGAAAAATGCTTTAACGGAAAATATGGGTTGTCTGGTAAAAATACCTATTTGTCTTTCTAAAAAAAAGGGATGAAAACTGAAATTGCCCTTTTTCAGGCAAAATAATTGAACACACATCTCACTTCTGGCCTGTAAATAGCCAGAAGTTGATATGATGCCTAAAATAAGTGGGGTTTAAATATTAATTATGAAATCAGGAGCTCTGTTTCACGAATGCAGAACCTCCACACTCCAAAAAATCACTCAGGGGGGAAAAACATTTAATCCCACGGTCGTGTTGTGCTCGGGCCTTTCCAGGAAACCCCTTCCAGCTCTGCCCCCTGCTAAGTGTCTGTGGGACTCGCCAGGGGAGACAGGAATAATTCCTGAGGAGAGCTGGGAGAGCCCCCAGGGATGGTGACAGATGGAGCTGCTCCTCCAGCAGCCCCAGGAGGGCGGGTGGGATCCGGGGCCGGTGGGATCCGGGGCCGTCGGTGCTTTGGGCCTGGCCCAGCCCCCCGCTGGTGTCTGGGGTTCCCAGCCCACCCCAGAGGGTCTGGGTGTGTTTTGCAGATTGCACAGGAGTGTCACAAGCACGACACCATCGGGCAGGACCTGGTGGCCATGTGTGTCAACGACATCCTGGCCCAGGGAGCTGAGCCCCTCTTCTTCCTCGACTACTTCGCCTGCGGCAAACTGGACGTGGACGTGGCTCAGGGGGTCATTGCAGGGGTTGCTGATGCCTGCAAGAAGGCTGGCTGTGCTCTGCTGGGTAGGAACAGCCTCCTCGGGAGGGTGTGGAAAAGCTTATGCAGGATCTTTATAGTTGATCTTAATGGGGTTGTTTTCCTGCTCTCTTGAAGAATCTTAGAGGGGTAAAAAGAAAGAATCCCAGAAGGTTTGGGTTGGGAGGGACCTTAAAAACCATCCAGTGCCACCCCTGCCACGGGCAGGGACACCTTCCACTATTCCAGGTTGCTCCAAGCTCCGTCCAACCTGGCCTTGGACACTTCCAGGGATGGGGCAGCCACAGCCTTTCTGGGAATTCTATCCCAGCCCCTCCCCACCCTCACAGCCAGGAATTCCTTCCCAATATCCCATCTAACCCTGCCCTCTGGCAGTGAAAGCCATTCCCCCTTGTCCTGTCCCTCCATCCCTTGTCCCCAGTCCCTCTCCAGCTCTCCTGGAGCCCCTTCAGGCCCTGCCAGGGGCTCTCAGCTCTCCCTGGAGCCTTCTCTTGTCCAGGTAACACCCCCAGCCCTCCCAGCCTTTCCTCCCAGCAGAGCTCCTTCATTCCTCTAATCAGCTTCCAACCAAGATGATTTCCCCAAAATGAACATATTCCAAATTGTTAAGACTCAAATTTAGATGTTTTCCTTTTCAGCCCTAGAATACAAGTACATGAAGTATTTTACTGCCAAGTTCTGTGTGTGCTCTGCTGTCCAATGATCTGGTTAGCCACAAACACAAGACAATATTTCCCTTCTGGAATCATTAAAAATACACCCTTACCACTGCTCAACTCAAGGAAAGTATTTCTAGGTCAGCAAAACCCACATTCTTTTGTATAATTCTTATGAAAGGACTTCAAAACAGGGTTCAGTTTTAAAGCAGTGAAACCCAGGGAGTTCTGTTTCCTCACAAAGTTTTTTGCTTTTCCTTCTTTTTTTGTAAAATCAGACGTGTGGAATGACCATGATGTTTCAAAAAAGACCTTTGAGGCAAAAAAAATGACAGTTCAAATGTCTTTAGGTAATTCTGTCTTTTTTTCCAATTCCTTAAGAAGGTTGGGAACAAAGTCCTTTCTCAGTGGGAACGTGTCCTTTTGGGGCCGTTCACCAGCTCTGAACAGGAGGCTCTTTATGCCCTGGTTTATTTTTTTGCTGTGTGAACTCTTGGTCAGCCTTATGTTTGTTTTAAGGTGTTCTCTCCATTTGTCAGACACAACCAGACCATTCATGGGGCAGCACAGGCCCTGCTGTGTGAGCTCCCGGGACGGAGTCGCTGCACTGGCAGGGTTGGATTTCCAGCTGGAGACTTTCAAACTGCAAAGGCGTTTTTGCAGCAGCTGAATATTCAGCTCAACAACCCTGAGCTCATCCCAGCCAGGGGCTGAGGGCTCTTCTCCTGCCTGGATATGCACAAACTTCATTAAATATGGATTTAAGTGTTGGGCAGGGCGTGGAGCAACCTGTCTAGTGGAAGGTGGGACAAGATGAACCCCAGACCAGGCTGGGATTCTGGGATTCTGCAATTAAAAAAACCAGTCTGTGAACATCTCCTGAGCTTGAAACCTGGGGAAATTGCAATCCTGTGGCTTTTCAACCCCCGCCTGTGTGTTCTGTGGCTCCCAGGAGGAGAGACGGCCGAGATGCCGGGCATGTACCCGCCCGGGGAGTACGACCTGGCCGGCTTCGCCGTGGGGGCCGTGGAGAGGGGGCAGATGCTGCCCCAGCTGGACAGGATCTCGGATGGGGACGTGCTCATCGGGGTGGCCTCCTCTGGGGTGCACAGCAACGGCTACAGCCTCGTCAGGAAGATCGTGGAAAAGTCCTCCCTGGACTTCTCCTCTCCCGTTGGTGCCTCTGGGGACCAGACTTTAGGTACTGCCTGGAGCCTGAGCTTCCCAACACTTCACACCACTCTTTGGGCTGGGCCTTTGCTTTTGCAGCTTTTCAAAGGCACCAGGAAAAATGTGTTCCATCTTTAAGGTGTTTTCTCTTCCTTTTGTCTCCTGTGGGTCACGTGTGCAGGAAATCAATGGAGGGAGGGGGATAAACAGCTACTTGTGTGCTAAGAAAGGCAGAACACTGGGCTTCTCTCTGTAGCACAGTGGGCACTAATTTCCCCCATTTTATGGTGATTAGCCTTTCCTTCTGTGCTGTAACTGGCCTTTTTTTCCTCCTCTTCCAGGAGAGCTCCTGTTGACCCCAACCAAACTGTACAGCAAGACCCTGCTGCCCGTGCTGCGCTCGGGCCACGTGAGGGCCTTTGCCCACATCACTGGGGGGGGACTGCTGGAAAACATTCCCAGGGTGCTCCCTGACTCCTTCGGTGTCGTTTTAGGTGAGGTGACAAGAAAGCTGTGGGCAGGTCCTGCTGTTGCTGTGGGTTGTGTGGGAGCCTGTGCACGTGTAGGGGCTGGACACACCTGTCTGGAAATGGCTGAGTCTGGCCTTGGACCTGACCCAGGGCCAGGCAGAACACTGCAGTGTAAAGGCTGCTCCCCATTGA